AAATAAGGGGTAAAATGGCAAAAGCCCATGTCATGCCTAAAAGTTGATCCATTCTCTCTCCTTTTTCGCCCATATTTGGAGGGAAAAGTTTTAGTCGGCGGAAGGGAAAGACATTCCTCCCTAGTTTTCACTCCATCTTATTTTCCTTCATACGTAATGGTGAAAACGTTTTCAGTCCATCCTATTTTTCTCTCATCATTTTTCATCCTCTATTTTCCTCTCTACCAAATAGACTATTAGGGAAAATTTCGGTCTACTCATTCTAATTTATTATATTTTTAAGAATATTTTCTTTATTATTCGAAACTGATACCTTTTTCTAATTTATATTTAAATATTATTGATACCCCATATCTTTAAACCACCGTTTCTAACAAAAAAAATCGTTTAAAATACTAAAATTATCCCTACATAAACTTAAATAATTTTTCTACATAAAATTCGAGACGATTAAAATTATTTTTCTATATATTAAAATTTGAGTTAATTAAAATTTAATTTTTTACATATTAAAATTTGAATTAATTAAAATTCGATTCAAACTAATTACATTTTTTTATGTATTAAAAATTGAGCCTATTACAATTCCTCTTTTACGTATTAAAACTCGAGCCAATTTAAACTCTTCTTGAACTGTTATCACCGATTAAAATTCATTTCAAGTAGATTAAAAATTATATTTTTTTATATATAAAAATTCATGTCAATTAGAATTCGATTCAACTTAATTAAAATTTGATCCGAAATGATTAAAAATAAATTTTAATATGCTCAAATAAAATTTTAATACGTAAAACAATATAATTTTTAATCGACTCAATTTTTAATACGTAAAAAAATATAATTTTAAATCGACTCAAATTTTAATACGTAAAAAATAAATTTTAATTAGCTCGAATCGAATTTTAATACATAAAAAAATATAGAAAATATATGAGATCTCATTGAAGATATGCATATATAATGGGAGCGTGGATGAAGTTTTTCCTAAAGTATATCATAGGCAATTTTATAAAATTATATTCTAGTTAACACCTTTAATCTAACTAGATGTGAGTGAAGATTTAAAAAATAAAGATAGCATCATTGAAAATATAATAAACTAGAAGATGTGCGGTTAAAATTTTTCCCTAATTTATAAGGTTTAGGCAGTACCAATGGTATAAGCACACCCCTTGCTCCACCATAACATATGAGTTTTATAATAACATAAGGTCACCCTATAGACCAATCCTACATTATAATGTTCTACACGTCCTAAGCCCAAAGGCATCCATGATTTCTATATGGGTAAACCCTCCGCAGAGGAGCTGTTCACAAAACTTCCCTACTCACTCCAGCAAGGGGGAAAGTGATCCTACATCATTCAAGAATTTCAGGCTAGGAGCCTCAATTGATTCATATCATAAATTCTCTCCAAAAGAGTCGGAGTCTAGCTCCGTCAAAAGAGGATTCAGTCTCCTCATCGAGATCTCAATCAAAATTGTCAAAAGCTTCAGCTAGCTCATTCCCTTCACAATATAGAATAGTGTTATTACATACGATAATGACGAATTCATCTCTAGTCCCTTCCCTCGTATAGAAAATGGAAGACGAAAATTAAGGTAGCCAATCAGTCAATTTCATAAAAAAAGTAAGTGTGAAAACAATCACTTAGCTGCCAAAACATTACCACACGAGATCAAAACACACATGAAAAATGGTTTCATGAACTCAGATATATAGGACTAGAGTGCAAAAAAAAAAAAAATTACAAAAATACAGGACTCAAGTAACATTCAACTTTCCTGCTCTTAATAAAATATCTCCTGGTCTAGGACATGTTAGTGTGTTAACTATCTCGCTACAAGGATACCAGGAGCTTCTGAAATATTGTCACACGATTACTGTCAAGTACAATGGATTGCCTGTTACCCGTACACTGCTTAACGTCTTCGTTTAATTAGTTAGGTGTCAAGAGCTGCCAACTAAATGCGTCTCTTACTGAAAAAATTACAAGTGAACATTTGTCAGATTAGGTCAAAAGTGAACATTGTTAACCAAAGAATGCAATGTTGATCTCGATATCAAGGCTCCAGTCTAAGACAAGTTAGACCACTATAATAGGAGGGAAAAAAGAGGTATAGCTACAAGTAAAGGATCATAACTATAATAGGAGGGAAAAAAAGGGGTATAGCTACAAGTAAAGGATCATAATGTCAATTTTTAGGAAGCGTTAACAGGAAAGAGAATACCCAATTCATAGCCAAACCCTTCCAACCTAAATGCCCCTGTATGAAAGGCATGCAGTGGGTAAGGTTCTAGAACTATGTGCTGGTAAGCATACGAAATACATGCACCAATTTCGTACCATTAATCAACTATTTGCTTAATCATTATTATGATAATTATATGCTACGGACGACACACTCGCAATGCATGTGCATGCGATAGGGGTTATCATAACCCATTGGAGAGGGAGGGAGGGAGGGAGGGAGGGAGAGAGAAATTCAAAGGTAAGTGGCTGATAATCAATTTTATGCTAAGTTTTCCAACCTAACATTAAGTCGCACTATGAGGCTTTTGATACCGAAACTGTAAACATTACTTTTTTAGGGTCATATTTTCCAACTTACCATAAGCTAGCCTATGCTTCTTTACTGTCTCATTTTTACTCTAACTTTACTCCTAAAATTAAGTGAGTAAAGATTACATCCCTCCTTCCTCACTGGTGTAATTGTAAATCTTTCTTGACAATATTCAAACCATCTTAATCTATTTTCTCTCAACTCATCAAATATTGGTTATATTTGTTCACGATTCAACAAAGATTACAAAATTTTTGTCTAGTATTCAAAAGATACTGCATAATTTTTTCCTAGCCACTTACTGAAAAATCTTGATATTCTTGTCAATGATTCATGCAGATCTCAACAACGAAATAAAACAGATACTAGTAAAGAATATATAGATTTAAACCATCTAATCACAATTAAGACCATGGTATATAGTGACAGGGAAAAAAAAGTTATCAAATAGTATTAATATATTCTTCTAGCCTTACATAGTATCAAGTCTTCATCCTAGAGAAATCAAAAGTTCGTATCGGTAAAAACCAACATGGTATTATCCTTCGATGGAAATTTCTATAACATCATGCATATATTACTAACATAAAAAAGTATAAAAAGTCTTTCTCAAGATATCGACACATACATAGAAATAAATATGACTATCAGCATTATAAGATATCTAACACACTGATGGAGACATCCATATATTAGTAGACATTTCCCATCCATGGATTCAGCTCCCAAAGTTGCAAGGCTAGTTTGTCTTCTATAGCATCATGCATATATTACTAAGATAAAAAAGTATAAAAAGTCTTTCTCAAGATATCAACACATACATAGAAATAATTATGACTATCAGCATTATAAGATATCTAACACACTGATGGAGACATCCATATATTAGTAGACATTACCCATCCATGGATTCAGCTTCCAAAGTTGCAAGGCTAGTTTGTTTTCTATAACATCACACATATATTACTAACATAAAAAAGTATAAAAAGTCTTTCTCAAGATATCGACACATACTTAGAAATAAATATGACAATCAGCATTATAAGATATCTAACACACTGATGGAGACATCCATATATTAGTAGACATTTCCCATTCATGGATTCAGCTTCCAAAGTTGCAAGACTAGTTTGTTTTTCTTCAAATGTCCATAATAAACAGACTTGTTTGTGATACTTGAGATTCTTCGCTAAATCCTTAATCATTCTCTAGCTTTCCATGGTTCAAGGTTTTCTATAATTTATAATAGTCCGTACAATAACAAAGAACAACATCTACAATCTAATTTGAAAGTAATAGTGGCTATTTTCTATTGATTGATTTTGGGTCATTTCTTTCGAATTTTACGAAATTTCCTGAAAAAGATTAAAGAGCTATAACTCAGAAGTCACAATTTATAACAGTTTTAACAAGATTTAGTGCTCGAAAATAATTTTGTGCCATTGCTTTATGTTAGGATAACCTCATAAAAGGCCAACATGTTTGCCGTGTTTACTATGTTTAGCTGGGCTTCATTCTACATACAATTAGAACAAGGAGAGAGCATGGTGACATTAATGAATGGTAATGGTGATGAGAAAAAAAAAATCCAAAGGTGCTAGGTAGTAGCTGGAGAGAAAGAAATTTATACAATATATAAAAGAAGCACTCACAGTCATGTCCACCATCTAGTTTGTTGTTTAACCCCAAAAGAAATGTACTTTACTATACAATACTAGCAAAGTCCGGCAAAAATCATGCGTGAACAGGTGCCCAACAATACATAAAGACAGCCATCCCTTCTGATATTATCAATTAGGGAGACAACTGCAGTGACAGACATTGTTAACTAATGGTAAACATGTGACTTAACAGAGTATACTTAGAATTAGGCCTGCCAATCATGTGTGGATTCGTGTCAAACTTTAACGGGTTCATGTTAAAAAATACTCCACACATACCTGATTCTTTTATTAATTCGTGTTTAAATGAATCGTGTCATATCAGAGTATTTCTTCTGATTAATACTATTTGGACCTAAAAATTTGACTTAATTTGCTGACATAATGATATGGCTTCAGTAAAGCCATTGAACCAACACTAAGTTCCAATGTTTGATGGGCCCTACAGTTAATTCAAAAGTTATAGTGAATTAAGTCAACAAATTAGGTCCCAATAACATTGCTCATTTCTTCTAATCGACTTCACCTCGTTTATTAATCGTATCGGGTCGAGTCCATTTATTTTACTAAACGGGTAATTTAAGAAAGACTCAAACCCTTCTATGTGTCCGTGCCGTGTTAACTAATTATATCATATTTTGACACCCTTGGCTAGAACGGCCAAGGGAAACAATATTGAATTACAATAAGACTGAATAGCTGGTAAATATGAAGCATAGAAAATACAAAGATAATTACCCCAAATTAATGTCCACATATTCACAATAAGGTTCTACTCTCCGAGCTGCTTCCAATAAAATATCTGGATCATTTGCACAGAATTGGACAAAAAGTGGGCGATCCTCCTGCCAATTGCACAATATCCAGTCTCAATTAAGCAAATGATATTGTAACAGATTCAAAATCTCTCTCTCATACATATAGCATGGGGAAGAGTATATACCTTGCAGGTGGTGAATTCCAGGGAGCGATACTTGTCGTTCTCGGTGAAAAGGCGAGAAGCATGGGTGTATAAGCAGCTTCGGCGCCGTACTTGCGACACAGCAATCGGAAAGGGAGCTCCGAGTTGTCGACCATGGGTGCCACGATCAGCTTGGACTGGCCCAGTTTCTTCCAGTGAGCCCAAGCTCGTTCGATCCGTGACTCTCCGGTTAAGTACCCACTCGGACTTCCTAAAAAGGAGCACCGCCGTTGTTCATAATTTTCTTCTTCTTGTTCTGGTAATTGAGTGCTTTCAGAATAGAGAAGGTCGTCGTCGGCGTCCAGGTTTTGTGAGAGAGTGAGGGTCTGATTCATGGAAGAGGTGGCCATGAAAGGGTTGAGAGGTGAGGGAAATAAGTTCCTGTTGGGTTTCGTGAAGAGAGAGAGAAAGAGAGCTTCTGAATATCATGAGGCGGCGATGGGAACGGTAACGCGACCCATCGTCGCCTTCGCCTACTCGTTTGCGGGGCAGAAGGCAAGCTTGCACCAAAACGGCAGGTTTCAGGTTGAATTCAAGATAAAATACACCTAAACCCCAGAAAATTATGGCTAAATTACACAGACCTCCTCAGGTACGAAAATAACACTGTCCCATCCCCTTGAAGTTTGATTTCATATACCACATAGCCCATGCCGTTAAAATCCGTTGGACAAGTCGTTAAATTGTGATTACATCAGTGTATTTTTACCACAAAATTCCCAAAGTACCATATGGAACCCACCTCCATGCTAGGGTGCAACTTTGAGCAGGTGAACTCGAATTTAAGCCGAATTCAACTCAAAAAAAATTAAGCTTGAATTGAAATTTTTAATATTTGAGTTAAGTCTGAACAAAAAATCACCAATTTAAATTGAATTCAGATTGAGGCCTCGGGTTCAATCCAAATTCTAAATTAAATTCAACCCAAATATATTTTAAAATAAATATATAAATTAATATAGCAATATAACTTACATGTTAAAACAGTAGGGTTCAATCTTATATTAAACATTAATTTTTATGCTTTAAATACTATGATTTTTATGTTAAATATTTGATTGAATTTATTGGTTGTTATTTTAGATGAATATCATTTAGTATATACCAAGCTTAGAATAACAGATTGATTTCGGGTTTAAATGAATTCAGTTCGAATTCTAATTTGAAATCAGCATGAATTACGTAACTTGAACGTAACCCGAATTGTAACCTAAATTACGTAACTCAAATTCAACCCGAATCTATCCGAATTAAACTTGGACAATATTTGAGTTGAATATCTCGGATTGAAATCAAATTAAGATTAGAGTTAGAATTAAAAATTATATATCTGGGATTAGACTAGATCTGACCTGTCAACTCACCTCAAATGCACCCCTACTCCGTATACCAGATAAAATGTTAATAAAGCCTAATAATTTTTTGAATTGTCAACAAAAACCCAACAAATATAAATTTGTTTCAACAGTGCGCTCTCCCTCTGCGTAACAAACTACAAACCAACACAACTATCCTTTATCCCACGATAAGCACTAAATCACCGACAATAGTGACACGAATCACCAATTGTTATTAATCAATCCATCACCAAGAACCCAATCATTATGCAGCCGAATCTCCCACTAGCTACATTTCCACCTTATCCACCACTAAATTAGAAAACAAACCTATTTCGCAACCCTGAAACCCATCGTCACCAACAAACATAAAAACCCCCTGCCCCATAGCAAAAACCCTCCTTTAACATTTTGCGTCCGCTTAACCCCCACCCCCAACCCCACCCAATTCCATTACAAAAACGTACCTACAACTCCCTCAACAGAAATCCCACTTCATCTACACTAAACCCAACCTTGAATTCCTACAAGTCGAGGCCCTACCATCTTCTGAATGTAATCATTCACAAACCCTGAGGACCCATGGCAAATCATGCACCCCACTAATTTGTCCTGGCCAACCACATATGCACAGACCCCGTTGACAATCTCATGCCACTACGACACCTCTACCACCTTGTCCATTGCACTCATCATCACCAACTCTTAAAAAAAAAAAAAAACATATAGTAGGGTCAATATCTGATGGAGAGAAAAAAGAAGGGAAGGAGAGATTTATATATTATATGAGAATTTGGTACATGACGCGTACGTTAGGATTGAAGAACTAGTAAGGTGACGGGTGAAGGAGAAGGTAGAGGTATTTTGTGTGACATAGATAAGGGAGAGACGAATTCAAGATTGAATAGATTTAAAGGTGAGAAAGAGATGGGGACAAAAAGATACCCATAAAAGGATTTTGGACATGTTTGGCAATAGGTTTAGGGTGCGGCGTGTAGCCGAATATTTGGTTTTTTAATTAATATGATAGGCATTTAGGGGTAAATTGATCTTTTGGTGAATTTAATTATTTTCGTGTTGAGGAGGTCAATGACAAGGCGTTAAATGTAATATTTCATACTTCAGAGATCTATGCAATTCAGTAATAAATATCAAAGGGTGTAATTTAATGTTATGGCAAATTTGGAGGTCTGTCCTCCTATATAGACTTGTTTGGATTTAAGTCCGTCGAGAAAATTTATTTTTTATGAAGTCCATTTTTTGTTAATTTTATCATATTATCTCTTGCCTTTAGAAGTAAAATAAAACTAAAAATTAAAAACTCTTAAATTTTAGGAGTTTGACTAACATTAAAATCTTTTCTCTCTCTCACATCTACTTATATCCATATATAAGTTAAGAGTTTAAATAACATTAAAATTTGTTCACTCTTATATATATATATATATATATATATATATATATATATATATATATATATATATATATATATATATATATATATATATATATATATAGTAACATTCAAATACAAAAAAAAATTATCATTTAGACAAAAAAAATAATAAATTTAAACACAAAAAAATATTAATATTTAAACAAAAAAAATTGAAACATTCAATGTTAATATTTTTAAAAAATAATAACAGTAACATATTCAACAAAAATATTAACATGTTTAACAAAAATAGTAATATGTTTAACAAAAACTGTAACATACTTAACAATAATTATTTCTCTCAAATTTAAACGCAAAAATAATATCATTTAAATACAAAAAATAGCAATATTTTAAAAAAAAATAGTAATATTGAATATTAATATTTAGGAAAATAATAGTAGTAACATGATTACCAAAAACAATAACATGCTAAAAAATAATAGTACATGAACAGTAATATAATCAACAAAACAGTAACATAAACAACAACATAATAAAAAAAATAGTAACATGAATTTGAATTTTACTATTCAAATTCATAATAACTTTTTTTTTATATTTGAATGTTATTTTTTTTTAATGTTACTATATATATATAGATAGATAAGAGAAAGGAAAAATTTTAGTGTTAGTTAAACTCTTAACCTATATATGGATATAGATAGATATGAGAGATAAAAGATTAACTTCCTTAAGAGTTCGTAATGGACCGGGGATTGGGTTTATGGAAGCCTAATCTTGTGGATTAAAGCATGGAACCGTTATACATCATCAATACGAGTTTGTTGGGCCGATTTTGGCCCTAAGGGGTTGATAGGGCTGGGACTAGACTAGAACAAATGTTTTTTGATATTGTACTTCTAATTTTTATTATTTTAATAGATATTTTTATAATTTCAATGGTCATTTTATAACTAAAAAAATTAATATTTTTATGGTTGATTTACTATTTTTGTGAATATTTTTATCACTATTGTGAGTATTTTTATAATATTTAAGGGAACTACTTTTACAATTTTTTTTCAGTACAACAAAAATTATCACTTTATGAGTGATTTATCACATTTGTGAATGATTTATCACATTTATGGGTATTTTTACAATTTTTTGGGTATCATAACAATGATAAAAATAGCCACAAATATAATAAATAGATGTATGCTATAGAAAAAATTTTGTTCAATACAGTAGTCAAGTCCAAAAGGCTAAGGAATAGTAACAACTAGAATATACACACTACTATTTCAATTTTTAGCAACAAACAAGAATTAGATGCTGGAATAAATTAAAAATATGTTCAAGTGTTTGAATGAATCCATCTTTTTATTGCAATTAAATTAGATCGAAATACTTTAAAATAATAAAAATTGTTATTAACGCTTCAATCCCCGAAAACTTAGACCTGTGAGTCCGTGACTAGTGTTGGGGGCAAAACAAAGCATTTATTCCACTTTGTTATATTTCATAGAACATAATAGAAAAATAAGATTCGTGTAATCAATCTCTACATATACTTAATGACCATATTTTTTTCCAGTTTGTACTTTTATGGGTAAAATTGTATTTTAGTTGTTAAAGTAAGTGTTTCATCTCAATTTAGGCATGACCAAAAAAAGTGCCTAAAATTTTTATATAACTAATTACAAACATTTAAATCGAGAACAATGTACTAAAACTGTCACAAACACTGACCATGTGCCTCACAAAAAACTGTCGTGTGTTTTATTTTAATGTAAACATTCATCATTGACGTAATCGTCACCTAAAGCGGTGCATTCCATCCAATCCTTTTATTTTTTAGCCATAAGGCTGCCAATTTCTCAATCAAATAATGATTATTGTATGTTGTTTTTAGGGGTGTTTAAATTTTTGATTGGTTGTAATTTTCTATCCGATCCTATTCTATCCTACCCTATTGAACGGCTAACTGCAAAAATCGGATAGGAAAGTGAAAGAGTTTTTTGGTCTTCTGATTAAATCGGGTAGGAATGTGGAATACCCATCAATTTCGACATTCCTACTCTATTTTACCCGCAAAAAATATATTTAATTTTTTTTAATTTTTTTTTTAGTAATTATAAGAGTATTTATGTGGTACAATTTATATTATAACATTGTTATTGTTGTGGATATTTGAGTTGTGAAAACATGGACTTGTTTTATGTGTATGTTACATGATTTGTGGTAAACTGATGATCTATTGAAATAGTTATGATTTTAATGTGTTTCATATAATTTAAACTTAAAATAATTGTTATTGTATTTGTGTAACAATTATGATGGATTAATGTTTATGCTTTCTTATATTTTATTATAATTATTGTTGTAGTTGTTTTAAATTTTAGTGTTATTGATTTATTATGTTGTTAAATTGGTGCATGATATTTAATTGAATTGTTAAAATTATCCAAAAATTAATAAGCTACAAAAGTATTTATCTGACTTCATACCCAAATAATCGGGTAGAAAGTCGAGTAGGAATACCACACCTGATCGGATAGGATAGGTCAAAAAGAAATTCTTCCACAAAATATCGGGTAGGAAGACGAAAGACTATATTTTCTACCCATAGAGTAGGGTGAACATCCCTAATTGTCCCATAAAAACAACTCTAATTCACTCTCTGTATTTTATTTTTTCACTATTTTACTCAGTCCAATACTAAAAAAATTTTCTATCCTACTTTCTATTTCAATTTTTTGACTCTCAAAATGTGGCATCTCTCTCTCTCCCTCTCCCTCTCCCTCTCTGTTCAATCAACTTTTTCTTTTGTCATTTCTTTTTTTCTCTCTCAACCTGATTTTTTTTTCTCAACTTGATTTCGCTCTCTCTTTCTCTCTTTTTTCTTATCCTGATTCTTTTTTTTTTCTCTAAACTTATTTTTTTTAGGTTAAATATGACCGTAAAAAAATATGAAAGTTAAAATAGATAGCGTAGTTAGAGTGAACTTGTAAAAGTTATTTTTTAAAATAGGGAGTAAAATATTTAAATATATTTTGAATAGCTAAAATAAAGAATTGGGTTAAAATTGTTTTCAGGTTTGAAGATAATGGCATTGGCCCAAGGGCGTCTAATTCTGGTTTCTTCTTATTTGGACAGAATGGCTTTGGGGCTTGTTGATTTATCTTCAAATCGTCCTTCTCAGTCAGAGTATTCATTATGCCATGGGATTTGCTTATGATGGCATAATGGCATGTGTAATGTATGTTAAGATGGGTGTTTGCTTATTGTTTATGAAGGTGCTCGTTGGCAGGGGTGTCAATTTTTTACTCGAACACGAATTCGACTCGAATCGAATCAGACATGAATCCAAAAATAAAACGATCAGTTGGCACGAGTAATAAATGGATCAAATTAAGGTTTGACATGAATAATACGATTAATGGGTATAGTAAATAGAAAATAATTATTTAATGAGTATTGTACATAAAAAATAAGAATTTTATAATTTTTTTAAATAGTATTATATTAGTTATTGTCAAATTAAATAATTTTTTATTAACACAAATATTGACACTAACCCGACACGTACCGAAAGTGATACAACATAACACGAAAATAATACGATCAAAAGTAACACGGCACGATTGACACCCTCACTTATTGGGTTAGTGGGTTTGTCGCGAAGGTCGGCAGACTTTGGTGTAGGGAGAAGATGGTAAGTAATGGAGGTTTTGGAACCTAGAGAGGAGGGGTGATTGTGAAGCTATTGGCAATGGGTTGAGTTTTGGGTGTGGGGGTGTTTTGGTCTGGTGCCTTGTCTAGTTCACTAGTTTCCAATTTGCGAAAAACCAATTAGCTGATGTGCATGTATGACTGCAGGCACCACAAGCCAAAAAAGGGGGACAGAACAAACTAGAATAATGTGGGAAACTTTTGTAGGTGAGTTAAGGTGAGAGAAGGTTGGAGATGATGCATCAATGAGACAATGAATCTGCGATGGTGAGAAGAAGTGTTGGCGATTTTGGCGGGTAGGGTCTAGAGTGAAGGCCATGGAGATGCATCTGATGAAATGGATGGAAATCATAGCTTTGTCTCGATTTGAGACTGAAAATTCCATAGATGAATACTGCAATACTAGCAAAAACAAATTGCTTCAAGGATATGGAAGCAAATCTTGCATAACATCGTTGGGATGTAAGTCTTGATGCAAATGGTATCAAGGGAAATACATTGGTGTGGGCGTGTCTATTTTTCATGCATAATTTCATAGATCATAATTGTATTTTTTTTTGTATGTTTGTTTATTATAGATTAAAGTGAAAATTATCGTATATGATTTTCAGACATAAGTTGAATCTTGGTGTTCGATTATATTTTTGTATTTTTTTTTAATATTAATTTATATTTTTTAAAAAAAAATTTATCAATTAATTGAATCAAAATTCCTCGGATGTCAACTGAAAAAGTACAATGACATATCTCAGATTCTTTATACTCCAAAAACAGACCACCATGTGGCCTGTTTTTTTAATTTTTTTTTAAAAATTGCTTTAAACACCCTGGATTGATTAATCTAATAATCTATAAATTACGAAAACAAATATGAATAAATCTGATACCATTCATGGATTGAAAAAGAGCAGCCCCAAGAAGAAGACAAGGACAAATCACTGTAGCCGAAAAAATAAAAGACAATTGATCAATGACTTGGGAGACCATTCATGCTCTCATCAGGGTTGACGTTAAGCAAAGGCAAAGGGAAAAGCAAAAACGAAAACTGGAACATTGTAGGGCCCACATGGTCATAACTTATCAATCACTCCACCCACCCATTTTGACTTCGCCATTAGAGTGAAAGTGAGGTTCAAGCTCTTCCACACCAGCCATCTCTCTCCTACTAACTCTTCTCTACCTTCCACCCAACCATTTGCCAGAAAAACAAACCAAATCACCGTAAAACTGCATTAAAAACTAAAATCTCTCTCTCTCTCTCCACCCATCACTTCATCTACCTCAAGTTAATTGGCCGTCCCAACTGCCAGCAACCCTTTTTTCTTGGTCAACCGTCCCAAACACGACATGTTCCACCATTTCCACATCTTTTTTGACCGAGCCCTTCCCTCTTGTTTATTTTTAGGATAAATTACACTTTAACTCTTTTAATTATGTTCTAAATATCACTTTATCCCATCAACTATTTAACTTCTCCTAATGCCGTTCAGCTGTGTGAATTGGCCGCAGATCTCCCCAAAACTAAGCTTCCAACATGTTGCGGGTGAAGATTTCCATATGGGTATCCCAATAGTGTGTTGTTTTTGCTTGAATATTTTGGATTCAACCGCTAGTAATTCATGGTATATTTTGGAGGAATGAATGCAACATTTTGCTTAGTTCAACGGCAAAAAATGTTTGAATTAACTTATACTCACTTTAATGAGTCCAATGTTGTACTGCCTTATAAATGTTCGGCAATACAAGAAAAGTGTCCAAACCACATATGTTTCCATTTTCCATAAGTTAAGCTAGGTGAAAGTGAAACCCAAAACTATAATAGCAGGTGCATTTTTTAAAAATATGATAGTTGAAGGGGATAATGTAAAATTAATAATCATTGGAGGTATAAGGCGATAACTGAAATATCTGATTAGGCAATGTGAGACAAGAGACACCATTAAAGGGTTCGAAGTGTAATTTAAGTAGGCATGAGGCATCCAACGACAAGAACAACAAAATAAAGCAAACAATACACTAAAGCGAAGAGAGTGAAACAACAACCAAATTCAATACCACCTCTTTCTTTCTTTTTACTAATTGTTAATTAATTCACAGTAAGTTCAAGAGAAAGAGAGAGAAAAAGCAAAGAATCCAGTGTTGTACAAAGGAATAAACTAACCCAGCCAACATAATCTCCTTCGAGATAGAGCTTGCTGAGTCAATGAACTCAGTCATTGAACTCAGCTGAGTGTTACAAAATACCATACTGATGATTCAGATTGTACCCTACACTTAGCAGAACACAACCATGGCAAGTCCTGAAAATGACGATGATGATAAGGGTGATCTAAGAAGACTCTAGAATAAGATTAGCTGTTTCTGCAACAGAGAGGGAGTGGTTGTGCTCCCCTTCATAGGTAACAATCAACATGGTTGGATCATCCAAAGCTCTCTCAACATGTTTACGTGCTGGACATCCCCTCACACTACTGCACTTGTAGTAACCCCTGTTATTCATCAAAAAAAAATTAACAAATCAAACTAAGATATATGACGTTGGGAAATTGAGTTCGAGTATAGTGACAAATAAAATAAAATCGAAGTTTTAAGGTGGGTAAGATCGCTTGAAACAGACATTCAGTCAGAATTCTAAAGCTTGGAACTGTCAAATTGACTACAAAATTTAAAGATCAAACAACCGAGTTTTGACCGAGTCAAGCTCATAGTACAAAAATGAATTGAGTTGAACCGAGTGATGATACGAAGTAAATGAGTACCTTGGATGTGGAGACCCTTTAATGGGTTTCTGTCCGTACTTCCTCCAAGAATAGTCGTCAGGTGGTATGTCCGACATCTTCATGCTTATCGCCGGAACCCTAATTACCCTCTTCAGTCTCAGCTTCCTGTTTCAAGTAACACAGAAAATTAAAGAACATAATGAATTCGTTCAAAATCAAAGTTAAAGCATACAAAAAAACGTAGATATAGTGATAAAAAGGCAGAAGAAGAAACTCACCTTCTCTTGGAACAGTGGCAGCGGCCGGAAGAGCCACTGCACTTGCCGGAGGCGGCGTTTTCCGACGAACTGCACTTCCTCTTAAAGGAAGACGAGGACAAAGGAGGCTTTCCAGCGGAAGAAACCTGAGACAGATTGGCAATCTGAAACGCCGACGATGAAGAATGCTGTTTGCTATCAGTCTCACCGGTCAACGACGACATGAACGAATTTGCACGAGAAATCGCCGGCGTGTACGAAAAACTTATCGTCTTCGACACCGAATCCTTCCTTTCCATCACACCATTTCTTGGAATCACCACCTGATTCTCCGGCTGAGGTTGATGATAATGAACGGGAAGGACTTGTTGGATTGGTGTTGGACAGTAAATCTTAACTTCAGATACCTCATGGGAGTGCTCTGGGACTGGATTTGGAAATGAAGAAGTAGAAGAAGCCATTGGGGCCCTCCTGAAGCGAGCATGGCCGGTTCTGGTTCGACCCAGGAGAGAGATTACCTTCTTAAACTTGTTCACAGCAACATCAGCAACAGCTCTGCAATCCATGTCTAAATCCATGGACGATCTTTGAAGCTGTAAAGAAGAAACTTGACCCTCTTGTTTTTGAGACTGAGAGAGCAACTTGATGAGCTTCTCAACACTCTCAAGACCAGAGGCAGCCTCTTGAACTGCGTTCTCTTCAATTTGTTTAACCAAGCTTTCGTTTCTGTAACCCATCATGAGCTCCACAGCCATGGCTATAGGCAAAACCACGATCAACGAGACCCTAAAAAAGAGGGAGAGAAAAAAAAAGGGCTAAAGAGAATATGAGAGAGAAGGGTCAAAATGATGCCATCGGCGAGGTAAAGAGGTGATAAAGTTCAAAGCAGGTGACTGAGTTGTCACTCTAGAATTCTCATCGTCAAACTTAGGTACGAATAAGTTCGGACCACATAGACAATTGTTTCTTTGACGGAGGTTCTCTCGAGGACTGTGGAGGAATATAATGCTTTGGTTTTGCTTTATTAATCTGAAACGATGTGTTGGGGATATTGACCTTTTCAGCTTTGTGGGGTCCATTGGGGGTGTTGGAATTGGTCTTTAACTCGTAAGTCATTGGAAGAGATGTGGTCAAAGGAGAGACCCACACCGTTGGATTTAAAAAAGAGTCGTGTAGGATTGGATTGTTTTCTAGTGTGATATTGTTGACTTGAATCTTTTCTTCTTCTAAGCAATTTACAATCTATACATATACTTGGTTTAATTTGGGTTTTTGATATCAGCAATATTACGTGAATTTAAAAATTAAATTTAAAAATTAAAATTAATAATTTTAATCATTAATTTTATTATAGATCTTAATATTTATTAAAATTTATTATCTATTCAATAATTGAGATTATCAAATCTAATTTTTAAGTCTAGTAGTATTAATCTTTTTATATTATTAATCTTTAAATGTTAGGCCTTGTTTGAATTAAAGTCTCCTCATTCAAATTAATTACTAATACTACACAAAAAGTATCATGTGATCCTATTACAGCCACTTTTACTTACATAACTATAGTTTCTTTAGTTTCATTGTTCAATTTACATGTGTTAGCATTTTATGTCGCAGTTTTGAGACCTTTTTTTTTTCCCCCTTCTTGTAACCGAGTTATTTAGGTGGATCACACCAGTATGTTATTCCGCTCGCTTACTGAATTATTGATGGATTTTTCGTAAAATTGTCCCTCTATACAATGAAGTAAATTTATGAACAATAACCCCAATGAGATAAAAGTCTCCTAAAATATTCGAACCCATGATTTATACCTATGAAAGTGTTTATCAAGTGGCTACCACTAAACTAACCCTTTTAGTTTAGATTTGAGAATTTTAATTGCATGTGTTGGCTCATTTTTCACAATGGTAACTGTCACGGAGTAAATTTCATTTTGTAACTGTTTTTTCACAAGGTTATCCGTGAAGACATTGTCTTTGCAACTATGTCTATAAAAGGATATTATTTCAAACCGTTTGGATCTATCTGAATTCGATTAAAAATATATGTTACTGAATTCGATTCGTTTGTCCCACAAATAAAAAGTATTAATCTATATCTGAATTCACTTATAATGGAACATCCAATTTGATTATCTGATTCAATCTATAATGGTATTTCACCAAAATTTCAACAAGTAATCAATACACACATATATGTTTGTATTATATAGGTATACACATATGCACTATATATGTATACTAGTAATTGTCTGTGCCTAAAACTACTATATTACTCTTAAAAAATTATAAATATTTTTTCATAAATAAAAGTAATGTATAATATAATTTCAATAATACAATGATCAAATTAGCATTATTCATCCTATATGCAAAAAATATATAATCGAACTTTTATATAACGAAACTCACGCTATAACTATTACAACATATTAATTTAAACATTTGAAAAATAATAATTATTATTAATCAAGCATTTATGATTTCAACATTTTCAATAAATTTTATCTCAAATTTCAAAAAAATAACTATTTATTTTTCTGCAGGTTTCTACCTAAAGTTCATAACATTATATGTGCATTATTTTTTAATTGTGAGTTCGTGTAACTTTTCTGAGGAAATCATCCAAAAAACTTTGTTGAAAAATTAAGATAAGTTTTTATTTAAGTTCAACTTGAATATTTACAAATTTCAATCGAATTTAAGTTTAAGCAAGAATTTATACTTTATACTCGTTATTCAAATTCAGCTCAATTTGAGTCCTAATCATAATCATTTCAAACCGAGAATTGAATTTAAGTTCAACTCAATTAATACTTCTATATTAAATCTATAAACTAATTATTATCTATTCATATTTATAGTGACACCATAATTTTTTTTTAAATTTAATTATTCTTTATTATTTTTACAATCAATTTAAATTTAACTTCAACAACAATTAAATTCAGCTTAATTCGAAATTCTAATCATAATCACTTAGAACTGATAATCGAGTAAAATGAAAAAATTCTTGTAATTTTTGGGTGGAAAAAAATTTGGACAATCTGAGCCGCGAAAAGTTTAAAACAAACAACGTCAGCTCCCTTATTATATAGATATATATATATATATATATATATATATGTATTATTTGTTTAGTATACCATTCAAATATTATAGTATTTTTATTTCAATACGAAATATAACTTATATTATAATAATTTGATTTGTTTTCACACAAAAAATTTGTATTTAAGGTTCATTTATTTATTAAAAATTTTTAAAAATAATTTTTAATTATTTAAAATCATAATTAACAACCTAATTAATGTGTTAGCGATTAATTTTTTATACTGATTGTCACACTATGTTAGAGGGAGATATAGCTAACTGAGAGAGATGTGTGTGTTGCATGAGCATCAGATAATATGAGATAAATAGAGAGAGTTATAAGAGAGACAGGAGTATTAGAATTTTAGAAGCAAGTCTTGTTCAAAAAATTAGAGAAAAAAATTTCGCATTAGAACCGTCAGATCAATAATCTCTTCAAACAATTTGAACCGTGAAAAACTTAAGACAAATAATCTATCTACTTTATTATATAAATACAAATTGAATTGAATTTTTTTCGTATCGGATTGTATATATCCATATTTATATTTAATTTAAGATACTTAAACAAATTTAGATCGGATCAAATTGGATCGGATTAGAACTAAAATTCGGTTCATGCCTTATCTGCAACAAGCCACTCACATATACATGGCACACTAAGGATTAAAAAAAATGCTGCTTAACCTTATATTATTGACTCAATAATACGAGGAACTCTCAATTGCCAACCAATGATTCTCTGCCCCATAAATTACCTTAGCATTCCCTATTTATACATGGAAAATGGCGGGTGACACCCCCAATTGCCCTAAGGTTTGCTGATCCACTACACATTCGATTACACAAGCCTACTTAAATCTTCACTTTGTGTTTCTAAATCATGGAGTTATGCTTGGTACAAGGTGCCACCGAGGTACATTCATTTCATTCAAACTCAATAAGGGTCTATTAAAACTAGAATTCATCAAAATTATTATTTTATTATATTTAATGATTGATTAATTCATATTATTTGTGATTAAATGAGTTTAATTCCTTGATTTTCTAATTGTTTGATTTATTTTGTAAATAATTTTATTGAATTAAAGTAATAATGGATAAGACAAGTGAAACAAACACTAGAGTTGAATTAAAGTAATAATGGATAAGATAATTGAAGAGTCAAAGATTAAGATAGAAAGATTTGAAGATAATACAACAATTTAACCCTTATGAGAGTTCAATTTATTAGAAAATTCATTTATAGTTGGATTACGAAAGTATTTTAGAAGATAAGGTTTTGATATGTATTCGGTATTTTAATCATAATTGTTTACTCTGATATTTTATTGACCTAATTTTTACGGCATTGAAAAAAAGATTTCAAGAGTCACAAAAATGTATTTTATAAAAATTTCATGAATCGACATCTAACTATATGAAAACTGAGTTCGAAGTTTAGGCAAATAGAGTACATGTGCCCTCCAGATTTGATGCACGAAATTTAATATAAGAAGACTTTTTTCTTGAAAATGATTTCGCTCGAGCTAACGTTGAATCTCTTACCTATAATTAAACTTGGGCATTTCTTCCCGGTCTTGTCTTTTGTATTTTATTGTATTTATTTTATGGTTGGCTAAAAGCCCAATTAAAGTTAAGGGAAGGAAAATTTGGAGGCCGGTCCTCTTGTGTAGACTTATTTGGTGATAAGTTTATTAAAAAACTTATCTAATATTAAGTCTATTTTGATTTTCATTATCCAAAATACCCCTAATAATTGTGTTTAATTAAAAAAAATTGAAAACTAACAACTCTGAAATTTTCAGAGTTTTACTTACATTAAAATTCTCTCTCTCTTATATCTATCTATAAACATATATGAAATATGACTACTTATTTCATATTGTACTGTATTTTTAAGTACGAATTAACCCTGAAGATGTTATAAAACCCATTTGCCTCTCTTATGTCCATCACTGCACCAAGTAATTTAAAATTTTCAATTTTTTCACTTTGAAAAGGGAACAAAGGGAGAAGAAACTGAGAGGGTTTAACTAATATCAAAAATAAAAAAGAGAGGGTTTAACTACTTTTTCAATTCTTCCAGTTCGAAAACTGTTTTTTTTTTCTTTTTTCCTTAACTTCATCATCTTACACTATATGTGGGTACGTTTTTCACAATATATGTGAGTCTCACAAAATGTAATAATTATATTTGATATTGACTTAAATATCCTCCATATCTATTAAAAAAGATAATATAGTAATTTACATTTCTTGTGGTCCTAACAATAAAAAAAAAAAATGCTATTTGGTAACAATTAACTTTAATACCGTTGTCTTGGTTAAAAACATAGGCATTGGAAGGGATAATGTTATAATCTGTCCTTGTAATATCATGTGTTAGTTTATTAATTAAACCATTTTATATGGGTATATCTATAATCTATAATATAAAATAAGACATATTTTAATAAATTCATCAACATCCTTCTCAAAACTATTCTCATTAAATCATGTCTTCTGGCACGAGTTACCCCTAATTTACATTATAACATTGACCAATGTTAATTTTAAATATTTGTATCAGGTTAACAATAATATATCAAACAAGGTATATGTGGATTCCACGTGCTAATTTACTCTATTCTACCCGTAATGACCTTCTTCTCCGCAAAACAACACACCCCAAATGTATATTTAAACTTAGTTTTGTCAATTAAAATCCCTCAAATGTATAATATTTGGATTATATCATAATTGAATTAGATATTAATGTATTTATATTCAAATCTTTGAAAAATGATATAACATAATTGAATTCTTAATCAATAAAAAGTTATCGTATTTACATTAATAACAAATCCGTATAAAAAAATTGTTCTTCTAGAAAACTGGCAAAATGGAG